CAGATCATCCTGTGGAACCCTCTTGCTTTTGTAGATGAGGGAGCTGAGGCCCAGAGAGGGTAAGTCATTTTCTCAAAGTCACTTCACAGAGCAGAGGCTAGAAGCTAAAAGCTCTAGACTCCCAATCCAGTGCTCTCTCCACCACGTGCATAGCCAAGCAAAATGATTTCTAAGTAACAGTAACACCAACAACACAAACCACTTTTGAAAAGGTACCGAATCTTAGCACCTTAAGTAGTGGTGTGTCTCCCAGACGGTTTTCGTTTTCAGTAAAGAAACAGAGCAGGCCCTCTCTCGTCAGGCTATGATTCAGCTAATGATCTTAGCCCTCGGAAACAGGGGTATGATGGTAACAGAGGAAACAAGACGGGTCCCCAAGTAGCTGGAGCTTAGCCCATGTACTACATGCCACTCACTCAGCCTCATGGAAGGCATCTGGAAGCTCTTCTCAGTGTTGTTTATTCCATTTGACATATAATTCCAAGCAGATTTGAAGCAGAAAGTTAGTTGGTATCAGCCTGACAGCAAGAAGAGGCAGCCGTCATTTCTTACTGATGGCCATTAGAATTGACGACTGGTAGCCTAACAGCAGGGCAGCAGACTGGAAACACTAGAAATAAGAAGTAAAGTACAGTAATGGGGCCAGCAGGTGGTGTGTTGGTTAAGGCACTGGATTCCCACTTGGCCAACTGCGGTTCGAGTCCTGGACCTGGTGGCTTATTTTCTCACTTTCCCTTTCTTTCTTTGTCTCTCTCTGGTGAACACATGTGCCCTATAGCAAATTTAAAATAATAATAAATAAAATTAAATGGTTTATTATTTAAAAAAAAAGTAATGTGGGATTGTTTGGTTTAGAAGCAGAAAGATCTACAAAAGCATCTTTCTGTGGTCACATTGAACTGCGCCCAAGTACAATGATAATAACTGACAACAATGACTGTTCTGTTGAGCACCTACTGCATGTGAGAGAAGGGGTTGGGTATTTTCCCAAATTATTTCTAAACTTTGGAACTCTGCAAGGGAGGTAATGCAATCTCTGTTTTATAGATAAGGAAACTGAAGTTAAAAAAAATGTCAAGAACTGTGCCTAGGGTCACAAGACCTATAAAAGACAGCAAGGTGTTTGCTTTTTATATTTATTTTAAAATAATTACTTATTGGCGGACCAGGAGTTGGCGTCATAATGGCTTTGTAACTGGACTCCCATGTAGTCGACTGTGGTTTGAGTCCCGGACCTGGTGGCCTGGACCCATGCTGGGTTCATGTGCGTGCATGCCCAAGAGGGATTGCAGTGTGGCCATCCCTCCTGGGGGGTGATTTCTTGCTTTCTGTCTTTCTGTCTCTCTCTGTCTTTCTGGTGAGTGCATGTGCCCTATAGCAAAAAACCTCTCAAAAAAGAAAAAAGAAATTACTTATTTAATTTTATTTATTATTTTTATTATTTATTTTTAAAATTTGATCAGAGAGACAGAGAGAGGGAAGTGAGAAAGCAAGCCATCAGGTCTAGGATTTGAACCATGGTTGGCCATGTGAGAGTCTAGTGCCTTAACCACCATGCCACCTTCTGGCCTCCAGAACGAGTTTTGAGGATGGGTGGACACATTCTAAAATCTGTGTTCTTTTCCTTATGCTCCTTGACTCAAGTGCATCATCACTACCTGGAGCAAGAGAGAAAATGATACAGCATCCATGACTTTCTCTGTTAATGAGAAGAAGGAGGATGAAATACATTTTAGAATAGGCCAGCCATGCATCTGTTTATTGCATAGAATATTTACAATTTGAGGCACAATAGTCCTTCAATTAATTGATGTCACTGGCAAATGAGGTTATTGGACATACACAACTTTTTTTTTTTTTTTTTTTTTTAGAGAGAGAGAGGTTTTTGCTATAGGGCTCATGTGCTCACCAGAGAAACAGAGAAATAGACAGTAAGAAATCATTCCCTAGGGGGATTGCCACACCACAATCCCTTTTCCATTCTCCTCTTGGGATCCTGGGCACACATGCACACACACCCCCAGTGTGATTTTGAAGCTACTGGGTTAAGGAGTTGAATCACGGTCGACCATGTGGGGATCCAGTGATGTAACCACTACACCATCAGCTGGTTTGACATACACAACTTTTGTAAAAAAAATCTGTGCCCTTTTTAAGTAAAAATGCTAATTGCTTTATTAAAGCCATTTAAAAATGTGCTACATACTTCCTTGTTCTTGCACAGCATGGAAACTTCACAGAGGGGCCCAGCTCTCCAGGAATACAGACTGGTTTGGGACACAGATCTATAAACAATTAAGTTGTAAGAAGGTATAAGCCTTAAGGGAGATAAGAAGAAGAATAAATTTTGCCTGGCAGATAAAATAAGTAAAACTAAATCCCTATTTGAATATAGGCCCTGGCAACAAAGCATTAAAAATGTTCAGTTTTTGCTTTCTATTCATGAAAAACAGGGACTTGTCAAAAGTCACCACAAAACAGTAATCACAATAAGTGAGCAATCCTTCCGCTGGTACAATGTGAGCTTGTGTGGTTGTTTAAAGATTTCTCCCTTGGCTTCCTGGAAGTCGTGGATGTGGACTTGTTTCCTGTAAAGAAGGCAAGAAGCTGATTTTCCAAGTTTCATATAAACTTGATGGGGCTGTCTTCTGTCACATCTGTATGTATTCCTGGGTCTTTATAACAGCCTTGTGAGTGAAATTATTCTTTTTCCTGTGATGTGAAAAAATGAGGACCAGCAAGGTTAAGGAACTTCCCTAGGGAACACAGCTGACCAGTATCCAAAGTGGGACAAGAATTTGGGTCTCTTGAGTATTGGTGTAGCCTTTTCTACGATAGTACGTGTCTCCTATATAGCTTGTCCTGGTTTAAACTTCTGCTTATTTGTTCCTGCACCTGCCAGAAGTAGGATGCCATTTTTATTCCTGTCCTTGTACATCACACTGCATCTCAAGGGTCAGAATAGCATGTCATTGCTCAGTTTCATTCTATCCACATTTCCTGAAGACTTTTTCCTTCACTCAATTAAACATTTTGATCATCTCTACATGCCAGGCACTACATAGTTTAGACATGCTGTGACAAGGTCCTACTCCAAAAACAAAAGACACCTTGTACTCCAGGAGGAAAAATAGACACATCTACAACTAAGTGTGTGCGAAAGGCGAGCTGTGGTCAATGTCAGCTCTAACAGAGAAACAAGCAAAATACTGAGGAGGCACAAATAAGACATTGTTTCTGACTGATAAGAGGCAAAGATATGGGGGAGTAGGTATGAAAACACTTCCTGACACTTCCTTAGACCTTCACAAATGGAGTATTTTGTTTGTATTAGTCAGCTATGGCTATGATAATGTGGTATAACAAATGACCCCAAAAGATCGGTGGCTTACACTAGGAAACATTTATTTCTTGCTTGTAGGTCAGAGGGTCCCTGGGGAAGCTCTGCATTAAGCTACAGGTTAGGTTCAGGTTAGCTTCCTCTACCTGTGCTTCTGGAGTCCAGGCTGAAGGAGCAGCAGAGAAAGAGCATAGGGATGATACCCATTTCTGAGTGGGAAAATGTGCAAAGCCTCTTACAGCCTATGCTTGGAACGGAAACTCCACCACTTCCTACCTACGTTCCATCATTCAAAGCAAGCTCAAAGCCAATGGGGTAGGGAATGTATTTGGGCCACAGAAAAACCAGGGCCGGGGCAGTGAGGGAAGGAAAGATCCTAAACAAATAATGCAACTGCTCATGTGCATACTGTTGCTTGTACTAGAGCTAGTCCTTACAGTTATATACTCCATGAAGGAAAAAAGGCCTTTCTTTTTCTTGAGCTCCTCTCCGTTTCCCTGTGTTGAAAGAGGGGTAAAGAAGGTGGGGTAAGGCAGCAGCCTTCTGTTACACCAGTTACTTTCACCTGTTCACACGCTGGCCTAGCATGGAGAAGCTTCTCTGTTAATCTCTCTCACTGCCTACAGTGAGATCAGCCCTTTCACCAGAGGCGGTGAAAGAGATCAGCGCCTAGCACGATGCCCAGTGCCGAGAGGGCCCCCGAGTGATGCTGGGTAAACAGATGAGCCGATGATAGGATAAACCGCCACATCTACTGCTTTGCTCACCCTGGCCCTAGACTGTGGCTGTTTTATTGATAGCTGATACATGGAAAGCCTCCACCAATAAATACTGATACATGCAGCTTAATACTAGCAGCCAGTGAAAGTGGTGCTGTAGACTATGTAAATGACTCTATGTTGGTGAAATATATATTATATATCGGGTTGTCTGAAAGGTCGTGACACATTTTTGCATAGAAAACCAGAAAAATACATCGTGACTTTCTCGACAATCTAGTACATTTGAATGACATTTTGGGGCTTATTTTTATTTTCTAAAGGTTCTATAAGAAATACACCTTCAGTTTGAAAAAAAAAAAGAAAAACCTTTAAAAAAATAAATAAATGGCACCAGCAGACAGCATGTTGGTTAAGTACTGGCTCCCCCTGGCTGACAACATGGTTGGAGTATCGGAGCCAGCAGCTTGGCAAACATACCAGGCACATGTGCATACGCGCCCCAAATCCTAAGAAAATGGAGAAGGGATTGTGGTTTGGCCATCTCCCCTGAGGGGTGATTTCTCATTTTTCTCTCTCCTTTTGTTGGTATCTCTGACAGGCACAGGCTCCTTACAGCAAAAACTAAAAAAACTAAACTAAACTAAACTAAACTAAACTAAACTAAACTAAAAAGTGTATAGCGTCATATATAAACAGTCTGGAAAAGCACATTCTTTGGGTTTAACTCTGTACTTTTTTTTCTTTGTCAAGGTACTCTGGAGCCAGCAGGTGGCGTGGTGGTTAAGACCTGGACTCCCACATGGCTGACCGTGGTCTGAATCCCGGACCTAATGGCCTGAAAATCATGCTAGGTGAATGTGCATGCACGTCCAAACTTCCAGGAGAATGGAGGATAAGGGTTTGTGATGTGGCCATCCTCCCTGGGGAGTGATTTCTCACTTCCCATCTCACTGACTCCTTCTGTCTCTCTCTCTGGTGAGTGCAGGTGCCCTATGGCAAAAAGAAAAACAAAACGAAAAGCTAATTCTTCAACTTAGATCCTAGATAATAGTCTGTAAGTTGCAATTTGACCTGAGTGCATGCTCACAGGAGAGAGTGTAAGGGTGATGGTGAAGGGGTAGCATGGCACCCTGTGAAGCTGACCCACATGGGAAGGTTCCAGCTTTGTGTGCTGAGACCTCCCTGAACACTCCAGCAAGCATGGGCCCCTGACCCAGATCTGGCTGTATCCTGTTGAGGGGCTGTCTCTCTTTCTAGCTCTCTCTTGCTCATAGAAGGAAGAAGTAAATATACTTAAAAATGATTAACTCCAGAGCCAACAGCTGACTTGGAGGTTAAGGCACTGGATCCCACATGACTGGCTGTTCAGTTAGCGTCCCAGACCCACAAGTTTGAAAATCACACCAGGCATGTGTGCATTCATGTCCAAAGTCCAGAGAGGACACTGGAGGAGATTGAAGTGTGGCCATCCCTGCTGGGGGTAATTTCTCACCTTCCCTCTCTGGTGAGTACACATCTCTTATAACAAATTAAAAATAATGATAAATAAAATTAAATAAGTAATTCTAAAAAAAAGGAAGAAAGAAAGAAAGAAAGAAAGAAAGAAACAAAGAAACAAAGAAAGACAAAGCCACAGATTTTACCCGTAAACAGGATTGTCTCTGTTTGGACTTAAATTATTGAGATTGAGCATTACTATTATTCATTCATCACTGACTAAATGCTGTATTGATTGCGATAATACTAACTACTGTAACAAAACACATAAAGACTCAAATGCACAAGGATTCAAACGGAATATAACTGTATTTCTCATTGATGTAATAATGGTCCCTAATATTCCTGGCCAGCAGGAAGCTCTCTTCCATGCAGTAATTCAGGGATTGAAACTTCTTCCATTTTGTGGCTTCACTATTCTGTAGGGCTTTGTTGGCTGAATCCCATTGGTAAAAGGGAAACGAGAGCATGGAGGGGCCATCTCCATTTCTTAAAAACCTTGGTTCAGAAATAGCTCAGTAACTTCTTCTCACATCCCTCTGGCTAAACCGCAGTCAATGGCTATACCTAATTGCAAATGAGACTGGAAAGGATAGTACACTTCTGTGTCTAGGGAGAAGACAGCTCACAGTCTATACCATAAGTGCCTGCTATTGCTAGGTCCAGTATTAGGCAACAGAGATACTAAGATGAACAAGACATTTTTTTTTTTTCCTGCTGTAAGAGAACTACCAATCTCATGAGTAAGACTATACTGTATTTGCAGAGAATGATAGTTTAGTGTAGAATGTGCTTTGATGAAGCCTCAAGGTGAGCCAGTGAGAACACTGCATACACGGGAGAGTGTGTCACTCTACTTGTAGTGGAAGGACTCAAGGAAAGCCTTGCTATGTCAGTCTCATGAATGTTTATTGGGCAACTGCTAAGAGCTGGCACCTATTAAGTGCAGGTTGCCCGAGATACAGATAATAAGAGTAACCCGAGCCCTCAGGAGTGATGGATGTACAAACAGATAAATCCAAATAGATAACTACCTATGCAACTGGGGGCTGGGCAAATATAGTGTGGGTTTTGTGGGTTTTGTGCTCTGGATTTGGGAATCAGACACACCTGGGTTTAAATTCAAGCTTTAACACTGTCAAAGTCATTGTGTGACTTTGAACAAGATTTCTAACTTTTCATACCTTTATTCCTCATTTTAAAACAGAAATAAACCCCCCTGGTATGGCAGTATATAGTGCGGGGAATGGATGTCCTGGGTCCAAAGACTGGCTCTTTTATCTACTCATTTTGTGGTGTTGGAAAATTTTACTGTTCTGAGTGTTACTTTCTTTATCGTTAAAACAGGGGTGACAATAGTACCAAACTCAGTTGGTAGGATTATGTGAATTTGGAAAACGAAAGTTCTCTGAGCTGTGCCTGGTACCTAAAAATTGCTCAATACGTGCTAGGTCTTGTCATTCCCTACCCTTACAGTTTGCTTGGGACATGAAATGAGATCATGCCAGTGCCCAGCAAAGTTAAATATTCAGCTGATAGTAATGATTATTATGATTATAAATGACAAGTGGGCAGTTGAGTGACCCCAGTGTTCTAAAAAGAAGCTGCTGAGAAACCAGATGGAACAGAATGAGGCAAAATTTCCTGACCCACAAATCTATTCCTCACCCATCCCAAGAAGCAGCAACGAAGGCTCGTGGCTCGCAGGACAATGTTCTAGTCTCTGGTAGAAGGCTATTTGCTTTCTTTCTTATTTGCTTTCTCTGCTTCTTGCATTGGTGAAGGCTTTGAGAATAGGCCATAAAATTGAGGTGAAGGAAGGAAGGCATAAAAGATTTGTTCCAAGAATGTAGGAAGCAGGTCTCCCTAAACACAGCATTCACTGGTAAAAGCTTCCAGAACTTTCCAAAAATTCCGTCTTCTTTTATAGCATCCCACAAGTCCAAAGTAATGAAATAAAGGCATGGTAATAGGTAAACACAATTACAGCACCCGGGTAGCTCCTTGGCAGGCAGGGGGTGTTTGAGAGCATTGGCTGGGGCCTCGTTTGCCATAATCGAGCCCAGCCCTGCTGTGATCACTATAGTATTATGACCTGTGGGGCAGAGGCGGTACCATAAGTGATATTTCATTTTTGGGTAGCTGGGGGTAGTAATGAACCAGTTGCAGTCAAGTGAATTAATCTCTCTAGCTATTCAAAAATGAAACTTCATGTACAGCGATTTGTTCTTCATTGCTTTTTCCACCCCACTGTAGCCTTTTCAAATTACTTTTCTTACAGAAAAGTGAGGAGAAAAAGAAAACTCAGTGGAAAAAAAAAATTAACTCTGGCTAAATGTTGATATCATTTCTGGTCATCAGTAATAGTGGCGAATGTATCCTATTGACACCCAGGCTAGAGTTCACATTCTTTTTCTATTAGCTTTACATCAATTAATTATGAATCTTTACAAATGGAAGAAACTTGGAAAGAGTCGATATAGTATAGGTCCAGAACCAATTTTATATGTAGTATGAACTATCGATCGGTTTTTATCCAAAGTTCAAGGAGTACCCTAATCAACCGCCACTGAGTAGAGTTACTCAGTGATAGTGCATTTCATAAACAGAAATTAATGATTAAAAATATGTTACTGAGAATGAAAGACTCTGGCATAGGTGGGTATAGACATGTAACACAGCTGTTAATCCTCTATAAATTTGTTTTTAATAACACTGATGTTTTGGTTGCATATAATAACTATTTCATTAAATCTAAATTAAATGCATGGTTAAGCATATTTAAAACATGTAAATGTAATGTGTTGCTAGCTTATTCCATTTTATGTCTCCACACAGTTCTAATAATTTTCTGAATTCAAATTGACTAGGTGTAGG